GATGTGCACCCTAAATGTCTACAAATTTATAGTCCGAGGAAGTAGACCGCTATTCCCAACCAGGATCAAACGCGGAAAGACGACGTCGCGGTGGTACAAACGGACTGGCAACACAGAGGAGTCAGGGAAAGCACAGAGAATAATCTTTGGAGCTGAAGATATAAACGTGTGGCATTCTCATGAACATGGTCTGCTGACTGTAGCCTTGTGCGCTATGTCTCTTCCGAGAAGCCCAGGCAAAAAGAACAAACAAAACAACAACAAAAAACCCTGGTGATACAATAAGTATACACGGTCACTGAGTCAGGGATATTGAAAGCGACTATTGCACGACAAACCCAGGCTCGTTGATGAACATTAACCGACCGCTAACGGAAATCACTTGTCCCACTCTACCCTACTATGGAACTCATTTCTCGGGCCCTGAAGGCAGCCATAGCAGCTAGTAGTAAAGGCAGATAACATCGCATGACAAAGACAAGGAATGGCTGATTAGCCATCGTCAGCCAGTCATATACATACCCTAGTGGTGCACCACCCGAGGCTCGAACTCACGACCTTTTCGATAAGAGTCTAACGCCCTTACCATAAACCAGAAGCTCGTTGTTTTTGTTGTAACGGAAGCTCAGTCCGAGATATCGCCGCCCATTAACGCCTTGTGTGAGTCCCCAAAGGAAGAATACGATAAGACGTGTGCAACAACAGAAGTCTCTTAGTGTAAGAGGTACAACGCTTTTAGGACAAAAAACCGCGTAACACGATGTCCATTGAGCCAATCAGATCCCCTCCTGAAATAGTCGCCGGTATTATTGGCAGGTGACTCAAAGGCTGACTGTAGTTTGAATTTCAAGTTATTGGTTGATTGTCTGTCAGTATGCTTCGCCGCCCGTAGGCCGATCGATTGCCTGCCGTGAGCGCGCCTTACGCTTGCATGCTATCTGCCTGTTAGGCTGTTCGTTAGGTCGCCCTAACAGTTTTGCCGGTTTAGGTCAGTAGATGAACGTTCACCGACTGCTAACGGACCACGTTTGTCTCGCTCTGCCCTGCCATGGGCCTCCTTCCTCGGGACCTGACGGCGGCCAAAGCAGCTACTAGTGTAGGCAGATAGTATTGCCAGACTCAAATTGAAAAAGGCGCCCAAATGGATCAAGACTGAGGTTTGTAGAACAGAGCAGCGAAGAGGGTGGAGGGAAGCATTCGCGGTAGAGAAGTCGGAAACCACCAACAAAGCAAGTAGGTCCCACTGTGCCATAAAAAAGTTGATAGACTGCAGCGGGGGAAAGGGGGTGAGGGGATACGTGTCTTAGCTTCCATGCGGACTACCTAGTGGCGGCAGGTGTTTAAAGGATCTTCAGCGAAGGCCAACTAAAAAATCAGCGGAAAATCGAATCCGGCCATTTTAGCTGCCCACTGCACAGTTGTTGTGGTCGTGCGTAATGATGGACATGCGAGTGAAGACACTAAGGAGGCAGAATT